TTTTACAGTAGGTAAAAGAAGAGTTTTCCAAATATTTTCTGTACTTGAAAGGGATCAGACAGCTGCACATGTGTTCTGACCATTTGAACACAGTAACACAGAATTTCTCCTTAAAGATCACTGGATTCAACTTCCTCATCTTATAATCAAGGGAAGTGAGACACAGAGATGAAGTGACTTGAGCAGGGTCACCAAAAAGAACTGAGCCTAGAGTCCTGGTCTTTTAGGACTCCCAAAGAGAAGCGCATTATTTGCCAAGGTGTGATCATTGCTGAGGTGTGAGTCAAAATTGCCAGTAGCAATGGATCAAAAGTTTGGGGGTCTCTTAGACCATCTGGGCTCTCTTAAACAAGTTGGGGGTTGGGAGGGTGCTCAGAATTCTGGGACAAGTGAGAGAACAGAGATTCCTGCAGGCTAGGGTACTATGCTCTTATAATATACACGCCCACCCTCCTTTCTGATGCCCCAATAGAAGACTAATTCATAGACACAGCTTCACGAGAAGCTCAGGGAGATCATCCTATTAAATGCATTGAAGAGTCAGAAAAGAAGTGGGGGTGGGGCACAAGCCATTGCAAGCAGCAGCTGCTCTTGAAGGAGTCAGTTGTTCAATACTGGAGGTTGCGCTGCAGGCAGGGCCGAGCAGAGTGTGATGAATCGATTCATTTACAGTCTGAGAAACAATAAGACTTCTTTGACAGAGCACTTAAATCCTGAATTGCCAGTTCAGTCAAGATGAGGCCAAAGGAAGCAAGGGGGCTGCTGCCAGGGGAGCCTTGTTGTGGGGCCTGGCCTTTGTGAAAGTGGTTGAAACAGCCCAGAAACCTGTTCTCTCCTCCAAGAAGAGGAGCAGGGGATCTTGAGTGCCCAGTGATTTTATTATTAAAGTAAGATCCACTTGCATCACCCTCTACCCTGCTCTCTGCAGGAGAAAATAATCCTTAGGTATAAAAATGGTACCCAAGAGAGGGTACCATAAATTGAGGCAAGGAGGTCCTGAACCCAGGCCTAGCTTAAACACAGAATTCCTTTTGTGGCATAGAGTCAATCACATCATGCCTTTGGATCTCAGTTTTCCCATTTCTACAGCAAAGGGGCAGAAACAAATGACCACTTCTCCCATCTATGACATTTTACATAACTCTAGACCACATAACCTGGAATAAGTGCTTTGCCCTTTCTGGCCTTAGAGTTCTTGTGGCCTAATGAATGAGCCATCTGTGAGCTGGTCAAGTTCTAGAACATGTTGGGTTTGGGCAACAGGACCCCCACAAAAACACAGGATACAAGGTGACTTCTAACCCAGACATTCTCTAAAGGGAGCCCTCTTTTGCTTTCACCGCCCAAATTCAAACTCCTCTTCACTTTAGAAGGAACAATTAAAGTTGCTCCCTGAAGGAGAACTTTAACTTCAGCTCCTCCCCAGAGGGGAACTTTAACTTTAGCTCCTCCCTAGAGGGGAACTTTAATTGCTCCCTCTGTGGAGCAACTTTAATTGCTCCTTCTAAAGTGAAGAGAAGGAGTTTGAATTTGGGTAGTGAAAGCAAAAGAGGGCTCCCTTTAGAGAATGTCTGTGTAGGAAGTCACCTTATATCCTGTGTTTCTGTGGGGGTCCTGTTGCCCAAACCCAACATGTTCTAGAGCTTGACCAGCTCATAGATGTCTCATTCATTTGGCTACAATGACAAACCTACAGCCAATATCATATTGAATGGGCAAAAGCTGGAAGAATTCCCTTTGAAATCAGGCACTAGACAAGGGTGTCCTCTCTCATCACTCCTATTCAGTATAGTATTGGAAGTTCTAGCCAGAGCAATCAGGCAAGAAAAAGAAATAAAGGGTATTCAATTAGGAAAGGAGGAAGTCAAACTGTCTCTATTTGCAGAGGACACAATTGTATATTTAGGATACCCCATCATCTCAGCTCAAAATTTTCTCAAACTGATAAGCAACTTCAGCAAAGTCTCAGGATACAAAATCAATGTGCAGACATCACAAGCATTCCTATATACCAATAACAGACAAACAGAGAGCCAAATCAAGAACAAACTCCCATTCACAATTGCTACAAAGAGAATAAAATACTTAGGAATACAACTAACAAAGGATGTAAAGGACCTTTTCAAGGAGAACTACAAACCACTGCTCAACAAAATGAGAGGACACGAACAGATGGAAAAACATTCCATGCTCATGGTTAGGAAGAATCAATATCATGAAAATGGCCATACTGCCCAAAGTAATTTATAGATTCAACCCTATCCCCATCAAGCTACCAATTATCTTCTTCACAGAACTGGAAAAAAAAAAAACGCTTTAAACATCATATGGAATCACAAGAGAGCCCACGTAGCCAAGACAATCCTAAGCAAAAAGAACAAAGCCGGAGGCATCACACTGCCAGACTTCAAACCATACTACAAGGCTACGGTAATCAAAACAGCACAGTATCAGTACCAAAACAGAGACATAGACCAATGGAACAGAACAGAGGCCTCAGAAGCAACACCACACATCCACAACCATCTGATCTTTGACAAACCTGACAAAAACAAGCAATGGGGAAAGGACTCCATGTTTAATAAATGGTGTTGGGAAAATGGGCTAACCATGTGCAGAAAGCTAAAACTGGACCCCTTCCTTACACCTTACACTAAAATTAACTCTGGATGGATTAAATATTTAAACATAAAACCTAACACCATAAAAACACTAGAAGAAAACATAGGCAAAACCATCCAGGACATAGGCACAGGCAAGGACTTCATGAATAAAACACCAAAAGCAATGGCAATGAAAGCCAAAATAGACAAATGGGACCTAATTAAAATTCAGAGCTTCTGTACAGCAAAAGAAACCATCATTAGAGTGAACCAGCAACCAACAGAATGTGAAAAAAATTTTGCAGTCTACACATCTGACAAAGGGCTAATATCCAGAATCTACAAAGAACTAAAACAGATATACAAGAAAAAAACAAACAACCCTATTCAAAAGTGGGCAAAGGATATGAACAGACACTTTTCAAAAGAAAATATATATGAGGCCAAGAAACATATGAAAAAAATGCTCATCATCACTGGTCATTAGAGAAATGCAAATCAAAACCACATCAAGATACCATCTCGGCCGGGCGCGGTGGCTCAAGCCTGTAATCCCAGCACTTTGGGAGGCCGAGGCGGGTGGATCACGAGGTCAAGAGATCGAGACCATCCTAGTCAACATAGTGAAACCCCGTCTCTACTAAAAATACAAAAAATTAGCTGGGCATGGTAGCGTGTGCCTGTAATCCCAGTTACTCAGGAGGCTGAGGCAGGAGAATTGCCTGAACCCAGGAGGCGGAGGTTGTGGTGAGCCGAGATCGCGCCATTGCACTCCAGCCTGGGTAACAAGAGCGAAACTCCGTCTCAAAAAAAAAAAAAAAAGATACCATCTCATGCTAGTTAGAATAGTGATCACTAAAAAATCTGGAGACAACAGATGCTGGAGAGGATGTGGAGAAATAGGAACACTCTTACACAGTTGGTGGGAGTGTAAATTAATTCAACCACTGTGGAAGACAGTGTGGTGATTTCTCAAGGATCTAGAAATAGAAATTCCATTTGACCCAGCAATCCCATTACTGGGCATATACCCAAAGAACTGTAAATCTTTCTACTATAAAGACACATGCACACATATGTTCACTGCAGCCCTGTGTACAATAGCAAAGACCTGGAACCAACCCAAATGCCCATCAATGATAGACTGGACAAAGAAAATGTGGCATATATACACCATAGAATACTATGCAGCCATAAAAAAACTATGAGTTTGTGTCCTTTGCAGGGACTTGGGTGAATCTAGAAACCATCGTTCTCAGCAAACTGACACAAGAACAGAACACCAAACACTGCATGTTCTCACTCACAGGCAGGTGTTGAACTATGAGAACATGTGATCTTAGGAAGAGGAGCATCACACACTGGGAGCAGTTGGCGGGGGTGGCTAGGGAGGGTGGGGAGGGATAACATAGGGAGAAATGCTGGATATAGCATGCACCTATGCAACAACCCTGCATGACCTGCACTTGTACCCCAGAACCTAAAGTAAAATTAAATTAAAAAAAAAAAAAAAAAAAAGGTCGCTCCCTCTGAAGTACAAATGATCCATTCACTTCATTATCTGAATTCCTTGTACATGATAGATACTCGATACACATCTCTGAATGAAGAAAATAACTGGACTCAAATCACTGTTAGGTATGCACAGTACTCAGGGTTCACCCTCCAAAGATATTTGTCTTTTCAAACCCTGATCCAAAGATAGGCTTTGAAGGTTGGTAAATGCCCTGCAATCACACGTAACACCTTACAGGCATGTGTATATAAGTGCTCATTTCTAGAGAGAAGGTCTATAACTCTCATCAGATTCTCAAAGAGAAAATGTGTTTCCTTTTGTTGCTCCCCCACCCAAGCTTGGGACCCAGCTCACACTATGCTCATGAGCCTGGGCAGACCTCAGCAGCAGAGCAGTCATGGCCCAGCAAATAGCGCATTTGGGGTGAGGTCTCAGGCTCCAAGGATGCGGATGGGTGAATTACACAAGGACCACAGAGCTTAACCACTGAGCCATGGACAGAAGGATGAAGGTTCCCAATTGTTTAGGGCCTCCTAGCTCCCTCCTCTCCATTGGAGATGATTTGTTTTGTGTCTTTAACCTCATCTCACCTGAGAGGTCCTCAAAGGCAGGGACTTTGCATTCCCAGCCTGCACTAACAAGCTTCTCACAGGAAGCTAGGGTTTGGTACGTTCATGTTGATCTGAACTGAACTTAAATTTGTTACATCCTCCTCTGACCTCCCGAGTATGACCTAGACAAACTCCTAATACCCAGAAGACCCATCACCAGGCTTCTCCGATAACTAAAAAGCCTAAGGACACATTTAGGCTGTGTCAAGTCCTGGACTTTGCTGGGGTTGAGTAGCTGGGGTGAAATGGTGGCGCCAAATAAAAGGATACTAAACAAAAGAGGAGCCATCATAGAAGGTGTAATGCAATTTAAAGACCTTCTTGGGCACCTTCCCCTCTTGAGATTGCTGACTAAAGAGAAGATGGTGAGCAGAAGATGGTTGAGGGGTTGGGGTGAGAGTCTGAGCACTCGCAGTTGGAGGGTAATGTAAACTCTGGGTCTGAGAGTCTCCTTTGCGGGGCGACGTTAGATGAGAGGGCATCTTTGCCTTGTAGTTTCGTAAGATCATGGGGTTGGAGATATTCTTCCCTTTCCACGTGGCCTTTTCGGCTTCTCTGCAGAGAAGGAGACCAACATATTTTCAGCCTCTTGGTTCTCACTCACCAGGGATGCTCTCTACAGCCCCTCTTTAGTGCTCAAGCCCCCATCCCATTCCCCTGTCCCCAAAGTACACATCCCCAGCACATGCTCCTTCGTCCATAAAGATAGTTTTTGGGAAGAACTGGGAGTTCCCACTGCATCTCTAAGAACAGCGCTTACCTGATTTCCACCTGAGCCTGGGGGTGAGGACCTATAGAGTGGGACTGTGTGTGGAAGTTGCCAGAGGGTTGGGAGGATCCTGGGGTTTTGAAGACCTTGCTCACCCTAGCTCCTGAGGTTTTGGAGAAGAGAATTTCCTTCTAGAGTGTCACAGTGAGGAGGCAAACTGAGTGGCTGTCCTCTCCCCATGTGCTGGCCCAGTGACCCCTGACCCCAGGAGACGTATATGACTAAGCTGTTAGATGTGAACAGGCGCTTAAATCCTTTACAGACAATGGCCTGGGCCCTTAGAGAAATACTGAGTAAATTGTGAGGGCTTACGGGATGGACCCACAGAATGATAAAAACCACTAATCACCCATGTCAAGGGTCTTTTTGGCTTGTTTTCAGAGGTTTTTGTTTGTCTTGTAGAACATCTAGCAAATTAAGAAACAGTCAGGTCACAAGAGCCCTAACTGTAAGGAACCACACAAAGGGATGTCCCCAGCAAGGCGCTGAGGAGGCGGAGAGCATTTCTGGGCAGGGGCAGGAGGCAGGCCACGAGCTGCATGAGCTCAGGCAACTTCTTACCCACATACCTGCTTAGGCTGCCTCAGTTTCCCCATCCACAAAATGGGCATCAATCCTGTCTTCCTTGCATGGATGCAGTGATGTTGCAGGGAGGATGGTAGGCAGGGAAGGACAGGAGTGCGTGCCTGTGAGGGTTGCTGCGGCTATTGTGGTGAGTACCACATAACCCATGCTCCCAGGCAGCATGTCTCACACTCCTGTGACTGTCCACTCACACACAAGCAGGGGCTTCCAGCTGGGGCTGGGCTTTCTGAGAACCTCTGCCTCCCCTGACCCAAGCACTGAGGTGCTTACATGTGGCGACACAGCTCCTGCAGTTTCTTCCGGGCTTCAGGGCAGGGGTCGCTGAACTCCAGGTTGTTGGCAGATGTTCCCACTCCTTGATGCAGGGGCAGCATGCTGATATCTTCTGCAGTTCTAGACTTGCCTGTAGTTGGAGGGGAAGAAGTTAGGGAGCGGCCCAAGACCATGGGAACCCACCTTTTGCATCAATGTGACCTGGATGTGAGACCTGGAGTCAAAGGAGATCGTTTTGGAGCTTTAAAATCTGTCCCACTGGATTTTAGAGCTGCATGGGCCCTGTAACCCCTTTGTTTTGGCCAATTTTTCCATTTGGAACGGCTGTATTTACCCAATACCTACACCCCCACCCCCCGCCCAGTGTCTAGGAAATAACTAACTTGCTTTTGATTTTACAGGCTCATAGGTGGAAGGAATTTGCCTCATCTCAGATGAGACTTTGGACTGTGGACTTTTGGGTTAATACTGAAACAAGTTAAGACTTTCGAGGACTGTTGGGAAGGCATGATTGGTTTTGAAATGTGAGAACATGGTCAGGCACAGAGGCTCGTGCCTGTAATCCCAGGACTTTGGGAGGCTGAGGTTGGCAGATCACCTAAAGTCAGGAGTTTGAGACCAGCCTGGCCAACATGGTGAAACCCCATCTATACTAAAAATACAAAAATTAGCTGAGTGTGCTGGTATGCACCTACATAGTTCCAGCTACTCAGGAGCCTGAGGCAGGGGAACCTCTTGAACCTGGGAGGTGGAGGTTGCAGTGAACCAAGATCACACCACTGTACTCTAGCCTGGGTAACAGAGTGAGACTCCCATCTAAAAAAAAAAAAGAAAAGAAAAAAAGAAAAGAAATGTGAGGACATGAGATTTGGAGGAGCCAGGGGCAGAATGATATTGTTTGGCTGTGTCCCCACCCAAATCTTAATTTGAATTGTGTCTCTCAGAATTCCAATGTGTTGTAGGAGAGACCTGGGGAAGGTAACTGAAGTATGGGGGTGATTTTTCCCATGTTATTCTCATGATAGTGAATAAGTCTCATGAGATCTGATGTGTTTATCAGGTGTTTCTGCTTTTCTTCCTCATTTTCTCTTGCCACCACCATGTAGAAAGTGCCTTTCACTTCTCACCATGATTCTGAGGCCTCCTCAGCCATGTAGAACTGTAAGTCCAATTAAACCTCTTTTTTTTCCCAAGTCTTAGATATGTCTTTATTAGCAGCATGAAAACTAATACGGGAGGGGTTTCAGAAAATGCTTTCTCAAGATATTGTGTTCACCAGGGGACACAGAGCTGGGAAGAGCAGAAGAGCAGCATCCTTTAAGTATCAGAATATTGGGGGTAGCACTGATGCTCCCCAGGAATTGTTGATTGGTCAGTTATCAAACAGAAATGTTACTCATACTGGGAGTCATCTATGAAGGATGTGTCAGGGACTGACTTGTGCAAAGTGATGAGACTGGCCATGTCTCCCAGGGTGTCCTCAGGCAGTTGTCAGGTGGTATGAACATGTGGTCATGTGGAGCTGTGATGGCAATCCTCCCACTGTAGGTACCAGGGTCATCTGTTTAGTCATTTGTGTCAGGTCCTGCCCACATTGAACCTCTGACTCCCACCCAGCTGCAGCCTCGAAGTATGTAGGCTCAACTTCACCTTGGATTTGAGGGATGAAAACCTGGCTTTGGGTGAGGGCATTTCTCAGGCTCTAACTGAAGCTTTGAGGACCTAAGAATGGAGCCTTCCTTGCTGGGGAAGCTCGGGGGTTTCTGGCCAGTGCTTGAGGACCGTCTCTGGTATCTGCCACCCTGGGTTGTTCCTGGTCCTTCTCCTACTTCTTCTGTCAACAGCGGACAGAGACTGAACCCTGAGCTCAAACCTAGGGCCTGAGGTTCAGTTACCTGCTGGCTGGCCACCTGGAGCATCTCCTGGATTAAGCCTCCATGTCTGGCCTGCCTCAGGCTGCCTTGGGCTTTTCAAAGGTGACAGCCTCATGCTCTGACTAGGTAATGCTATCAACAGTTCTCTTCTTGTAATGTTGGACATCTTCCAGAAATAGCTGCTGTCCCCTCAGGGAGTAAGCCCAATTCCTGGAGCTGATGCTCAAAATCAGTCTGGTCCCAGAACTGCCAGGAGGGGAGGTGGAATAGCATGTGGACATGGAATGGATGGGGGAGACCCCCAAATCCAAAGTGACTTCAAACCAGAATGGCTATAGCGAAATCAGGCATCATTCATATATATGCCATCAGACAACAGGCATAAACTGGGACATTCCTGGGCTAGCTAGGACCCACAGTCACTTATAAGCTATGAGGCAAGGTTAATCACCCATGCTAGCATGCATCTGTGAGCCTAATTCCTAATCAAGATTAAGACCCTATAATGCAGCATTACTGAATATACATCCTAGTGTGAATGAGGCAACAAGGTGGTCAAAAGTTGGGTGGCAAAGGAAAGCAGCCACGTAGACAAGGAAGCCAACAGACATGTAGCAGTCCCCCCAATCCTTCAGGGATACATTCCAGGACCCCTAGTAAATGCCTGAAAATATGGATAGTACCAAACCTGCATATGCTATGCTTTTTACATGCACTTATAAAGTTTAACTGATAAATTGGACCCTAAGAGATTAACAACAACTAATATGAAATAGAAAAATTAAAACAATATATTGTAATAAAAGTTAGGTAGAGGGATGGGGATAGACAGCCAAATAGAAGGCTCTACTGATCGTCCTCCCCACAGGAACACCAAATTTTACAACTATTTACACCAAAAAAAAGCATCTTCAAAACAACCAAAAACAAGGTGAGCACTCATGGTACCAGATTTTAACTTCACGTTGCTGAAAGAGGCACTGAAGAGGTAGGAAAGACAGTCTTGAATTGCTGACACCCCCCTTCCCCAGCAGCAGCTGCATGGCACAGAGAATCGATGCCTTCAGGAGAGGGAGAGTGCAAGGATTGTCAGACTTTGCATTGAACTCAGTGCTTCCCTGTCACAGTGGAAAGCAAAACCAAGCTGAACTCAGCTGAAGCCCACTCATGGAGGGAGCATTTAGACCTGCCCTAGCCAAAGGGAAATAACCCATCCTAGCAGTTGCATCTTGAGTTTGGCAAGCCTGTCCACTGTGTGCTAAAGGGCTCTGGAGTTCTAATTAAACTTGAAAGGCAGCCTAAGCCACAAGGACTGCAACTCCTAGGCAAGCCTTAGTGCTGATCTGGGCTCAGAGCCAGTGGATTTAGAGGGCATGCAACCTACTGAGACACCAGCTGGGGCAGCTAAGGGAGTGCTTGCGATACCCCTCTCCCAATCCCAAGTGGTGTAGCTCATGGCTCCAAGAAAGACCCCTACCTTCCACTTGAGGAGAGAAGAGGGAAGAGTAAAAAGGACTCTGTTTCACATCTTAAATACCAGTTTAGTCATAGTAGGATAGGGTACCAGTCAGTGTCATGAGACCCCCATTCTAGGCCCTAGCTCCCAGATGGACATTTTTAGATATATCCTGGGCCAGAAGGGAACCCACTTCCTTGAAGGGAAGGACCCAGTCCTGTCAGGACCCATCATCTGCTGACTGAAGAGCCCTTGAGCCCTGAATAACCAGCAGTGATATCGAGGTAGTATTCTGTGGGTCTTGTGTGAGACTCTGAGACATGCTGGCTTCAGGTTCGAGACTCAGCACATTCTCAGATGTGATGGTCACAGTGAGGGACTCCTTCTGCTTGAGAAAAGCAGAGGGAAAAGTAAAGAGGACTTTGTCTTGCACCTCATTTACCAACTCAGCAATGAGGGGGCAGAGCACTAAGGGGCTCTTGGGGTCCCTGATTCTAGGCCTTGGCTCTTAGATGGCATTTCTATACCTGTCCTGGGGCAGAGGGGAGTCCCAGGCTTGACAGCATTCATCACCAACTAACTGAAGAGCCCTTGGACCTTAAGTGAACAGTGGGAGTAGCCTGGCAGTAATCCCCATGGACCTGGTGGTGGTGGCCAAAAGGTGAGACTCCTTTGCCTGTGGAAGAGGGGGGGAAGAGTGGGACGGTCTCATGGCTTCAGTGCCAGCTCAGCCACTCTCAATATGTTACAATAAAACATCAGGTAGATTTTTAAGATTTTTGACTCTAGTTCTGGCTCCCAGACAGCATCTCTGGACCTGTCTGGGGCCTGAGAGAACTCTCTGCCCAAAAGAGAGAACAGAAACCTGGCTGGCTTCACCACCTGCTGATTGTAGATCCCTAGGGCCTTGAGCAAACACAGACAGTAGTCAGGTAGTGGTTACAGCAGGGCTTGTGCAAGACCTAGTGCTGTGCTGGCTTCAGGTTTGACCCAGTGCAGCCCCAGTGGTGGTGGTCACAGGGGTACTTCATCATCCCATCCCCAGCTCCAGGTGGCTCAGCACAGAAAGAGGCTCCATTTGTTTGGGAGAAAGTAAAGGAAGAGAACAAGAGTCTGCCTGGTGATCTAGAGAATTCTGGATCTATCCACAACCACCAAGGCAGTATCTCTCTGAGTCTGCAAGAACCACAATGTTACTGGGCTTGGGGTGCCTCCTAATGCAGATATGGCTTAGATCACATCACCCAAGCCTTTTCAAATACCTGGAAAATCGGCCGGGCGCGGTGGCTCAGCCTGTAATCCCAGCACTTTGGGAGGCCGAGGTGGGTGGATCACGAGGTCGAGAGATCGAGACCATCCTGGTCAACATGGTGAAACCCCGTCTCTACTAAAAATACAAAAAACTAGCTGGGCATGGTGGTGCGTGCCTGTAATCCCAGCTACTTAGGAGGCTGAGGCAGGAGAATTGCCTGAGCCCAGGAGGCGGAGGTTGCGGTGAGCCGAGATCGCGCCATTGCACTCCAGCCTGGGTAACGAAAGCGAAACTCCGTCTCAAAAAAAAAAAAAAATACCTGGAAAATCTTCCCAAGAAAATAAAGTACAAACAAGCCCAGACAGTGAAGACTACAATAAATACCTAACTCTTCAATGCCCAGACACTGATGGACATCCACAAGCATCAAGACCATCCAGGAAGACATGATTTCACTAAATGAACTACATAAAGCACCAGTGACCAATCCTGGAGAAACAGATATGTTACCTTTCAGACAGAGAATTTAAAATAGCTGGTTTGAGGAA